GGAGGAACCGGAATCGATCGCCTGGAGTAGATGCTGATCTCTCTCCACCAAGGAGAAGAAAGGGGGTTGTAGATGACCTTTCTCCTCCACGAAGGAATCGGAATCGATCTCCCAAAGTAGATGCTGATCTCTCTCCGCCAAGGAGAAATAGAAAGGAGCCCGTAAATGACCTTTCTCCTCCTCGAAGAAATAGAAATCAATCTCCTGAAGTTGGTGATGATCTTTCTTCTCCAAGGAGAAGCAGGCAGCGGTTGGCCGAGGCTTCGAGAAGAGGAGTATCTCCTTCCATTGACCTTTCACCCCCGAGAAGGCGAAAAAAACCATATTTGTCTAAGGATGAAGATCTTTCACCTCCAAGAAAGAGAAAGGAACCATCTCCAGCAAAAGAATCAAGAAGGACTGGGTTGTTATCAGCTGAGGAGATTAAAAAGGAGAATGACAAGAAGAGGAAGGAGGAAATATCAAGGTGTCATGCTTAATTTGTTTCATGTATTGCTAAAAAGTTACGTTTTCTGTTTTTGTTATTTGATCTACACATAAAGCTGATAGCTGACTGTATTTTTATGATTATGCAGGTTTGCTGCTATGGATCCATCTATGAGTGGAAAAGGAGCACAACCAGTTTTTCGTGATAAAGAAGGTTTGGTTGATGAAAATTCCCTTACCTATCTGTATATTTTGAGCTGATCGTATATTGTTACCTATTGCTTAAAATGATGTTGTTATAGGTAGGCGCATTAATACAGAACAGCTTGCGAGTATATTGTTACCTATTGCTTAAAATGATGTTGTTATAGGTAGGCGCATTAATACAGAACAGCTTGCGAGAGCACAAGAAGAAGAGAAACCAAAGGTTTGTCATATCTCTGCATGTTATTCGGAATAATTTGTCCACACACTTTTGCAATTGTTGCTTGTTAATTCAGAAGAAATTGTTAGCACTTGTTCTATAAAATCCTCTTAAGAACCATACAATGTCATAACTGTTGTTGCGAAGACATTATGTTTAGAATAAGCTTAGTTTTCTTTCTGTTATTAGTTTATGACAGTCGTGGATAGTACTTCATAAGCCAGAACAATTTGTACATGCTAGTGAATAATGCACAATAACTAGCATGTTTGCTATATCCACTCCCAAACAGTAACTTTGGGAGTTGGATTGCCGAAAATGCCCTTTTGGACTTGGTCTGGTTTGGTTTGGGAGAAGGGCAATTTAGTCCTCACACACCCCCAAAGTTACTGTTTGGGATGGTTTGGGAGAAGGGCAATTTAGTCCTCACACACCCCCAAAGTTACTGTTTGGGAGTGTGAATAGTTGGGCCCAATAACTAGCCAATTGGTTTTACTTTTTCTTGCCCTAGCATTTCCCGTGGCACAAGGCAAGGTACAACTAGTGTAATCAGATTAATGCTCAGTACTGTGAAATAAGATCTAATATGTAAGCATAAGGCAAGGTACAACTAGTGTAATCAGATTAATGCTCAGTACTGTGAAATAAGATCTAATATGTAAGCATCATATGACTAAAACAAAGTTTGTCTTGATTAATGCTCAGTACTGTGAAATAAGATCTAATATGTAAGCATCATATGACTAAAACAAAGTTTGTCTTGACACTTTTTTGCTTTAGCAGATGATACATTGTCTCGTATACTGTTACATATCATCTTAGAAGCTAATGTGTTGTCTGGTATATTCTCTTTGAGTTAGACATGCTATTTTCTATTCGTAAAAAACTCCGGAAGACATTTGTATTTAGTGCAGGTCCGTAGCATCTAAAATACAGGCCAATTTTTTTTGTCATACTAGCAATTATACCAGTAATATGAACTGATGCATTGATATCTAAACCCCCCATATTTGTTGAATATTGGATCACGCGAAACAATATGTTTGCTGCGACAAAACCCCATTCTTTGAACACGTGAAACAGTATGAACTAGATTTCATATGCTGGATGAGAAGATTTATTGGGTGCTCCTTGTAGCCAACTTAATTAAGTTGCACTTAAATGCAATGACATAGTTGAGACTAGAAGTGTTGCTGGTGATATTATAGGACTTAAGTGCAGAGATTATTGTGATTACTATAGTGCTAGCTCTTGAGAAGTAGGGAACTAAATGAAGGACAGGCATAAGGTGAATATTGGAACACCCCTGTTTGTGATATTATGAGGGTCTCAGTAGATTTACAGTTTATCAATTGGAATTTTTCTATGCTACAGGAGAATTGAAATTAAGGGCTTAAGCAAATATCAAAAATTTAAGACCCTATGAATTGATGGCCAAGTCTATTTCATTGTCCGCTAATAATATTGTAGATGGCTTTGCTCTTCGAGAAAGAAAATCTTAAGAATTTGGAAGAGGACAAAAAAGCAAAGTGTACAAGTGCTGAGATAAAATCCCATGATGGATTAAGACCTGCACCTTACTTCTTTTCTTATTCCCAGGTGGGATAGGGATAATACCTACGTAATCATTTAAAAAGAGGTTTAAGTCAGCAGAGTCTTTGATTAGAAGAGGACTGATATATCTTATGGAAATATCTTGCATGACTAACTTGAGCTACTATTGTTCCCCTGTAGATGGTCTGACTAACCTGCCGTAGTGAACTATGAATCGTCCTTGGCAACACTGAATCTCCTGTCTTGTAGATGGTCTGACTAACCTGCCGTAGTGAACTATGAATCGTCCTTGGCAACACTGAATCTCCTGTCTTAAAGGGCAAATTTCATGGAATTATTATGAGCTATTAAGTGTTTTGCAAAAAATTCCATACACTGTTTTTATTGGAAAAAAATGCCAGACTTAAATCTGTAGAAAATACCACATACTATCAAAAATTATCCTAATGACATTAATAGTGTTATTTGAACTCTAAATACCCCTAGCAGTTAAGAAAAGGAGATGGTGACTGTAGTTACTTAAAGTAATTAAGGTTAAAATATCACATGCGTATCACTTGCCAGCTTATCCCTACGTCTGTTGATCGTGCAAATTTAGTCATTTTTTGTATTCTTCTCTAATAAAAATATTTATGTGAAACCTCTTATAGTTCATGGTAGTTTTGTGGAATTGACCATATTTTAAATCTTCATGGCATATCAGCTTATTATATAAAAAAGTAGAGCAAAAAGTAGGATGCTTTGTAACCTCTCTCTAATAGTTTGTAGTCGTTCTGTGAAATTGACCATATTTGAAATTTTCATGGAATGCCATTTATTATATAAAAAAGTAGGACTCCCTCCCTGCCTCCCTCCTTCAGATTATTGTCATTTTGATCAGAGGTTAATTTTGCTAATTTTTATTTTATTTTATTGACTTAAATCTTTATGTCCTATGCATGCTTTTGTTCAGGAAAAGAACTTGGAATGGGGTAAAGGGTTGGCACAAAAGAGAGAAGCGGAAGCTAGGATCAAGGACTTGGAACTGGAGAAGGATAAACCTTTTGCACGCACTAGGTAATATTCTAATGGTACTGCACTATAGAATATATGGAGCATTTATTTTTTAAATAACTTAAAACTTAATATTTCTATTTGCTAATATTGGTCCATGTATGCCGGATAAACTTAGATGAATTAGTGAGTTCATTGAGAAGTTATTTTTCCAGCTGGGATTTATGTACTAAAAGATGTAATTATACATGGACATCAAGGACCTCCATCACCTACACTATTCATATGATATATTGATCTACCAACTTGGGTTATAGTATTACATATTCTGTTGTTTAAATCTGTGGGTGAAAACTTGTAATAGTTATTGGAGAGGAGGTGAAAAATGGGAGCTCTTCTGATTTCATTAAAAGTAATCAATATATTTTCTCAAAAACTTGGTTATAGTATTGCAAATTATGTTGTTTAAACCTGTGAGTGAAAACTTGAAATAGTTAAGGGAGGAGGGTGAAAAATGGAACCTTTTCTGATATGTCATTAAAAATAATTAATAAAATTTCCAGAAACCTTGGTTTAATGAGCTCTTTTTATTCTTTACATGAGAATATGTACCTCGTTACTTTGTGATTTCTTCTCTGTAGTATATGGGCTGCTACCAAGTATTGTCTGGAGATTTGTCTCCTTTTGAACGATTATTAGGGTCATGGCTGGAAGTTTGACAGACCTTTGGCCTTATTGTAAGAAAATAGTTAAATTGACTCATAAAAAGCTTGGTTAAATGATTTCATAGTATTGGTTAAATGATTTCATAATTTTGGTTATCTGAAAGTTGCACATTTCTTGGATCGAGAAAACTGTACCTAAACAAACGTGTCATCCTTAAATGATGTGAAGACATGCATCTACCTTCTTTATGTTGTGAATAAATGGGCAATTTTCATGAATATTTTGAGGAAATGTACGAGGTCTTAACCCTTGTATGATGGAGCTGGTCAAGTAATCTTGCTGTAGTTTTTTGAATCAAACAATAAAATAAATAACTATTCAATTCTACATCTGGAGGAAATATAAAACATTTGTTTTTCCAGTAGTGGTGTGGTATTCAAGTAGGATGTGCTTAGGTTAGGACGTGAATCATTGTTGTTTTACTCCACCATCCTGACTGTTAATTTTCAGCCCTTGTGATCTCTCTTCTTTTGGCATTGAGATTTTGCAACTTGAGCATACCAGAATTCTATTAGTGCCGAAGTTATGGATGATATTTTAGAAAAATTCTGATCCTTACCTTGCACTTGAATACTTGCACGAAAAGCCAAAACTACATGTAATTTGCACTTAATGGATCCATCTTTCATTAAAAATGGGAAGAAACAAACCCATGAGGATTGACATATATGGTTCTAATGTTAAACAAAATCAAGATACTCAAAAGCTCAACCCATTGCCTGATTGAATACAGGCCCTTGTTCCCTATATGCTTGGAAGTTTTAGGTTCTGTTGTAGCAATATCTAATCTTTGTCTTTTTTTTTTAAATCTTTACGCTATGTGTCTGTTCTATGGTGTTTCCCCAAGAGCTTACATGTGCTGACACATAGGTGTGGGCACGTGCCTGTTTGACCTAGGTTCGAACTGTGGGTCGAACCGCCCAGCCCGCCATGGTTCAAGACTTGGCATGGCCATCAACGGGTCTGGCCCAACCAGGCCCGCAATGGGCTAGGCCCAGTCCAACCCACAATTCAATCAGGCCCGGGCTGAGTTTTCCTTAGACCCGGTGTCAGAGAAATAGGTCCGGCCCACTATTGGTCCGGTCCATCCCCGATCGGACCTGACTTGATTCGTCCCGGCCCGTTTTATTTATGTTTTATTTTTTTTTATTTCAGCCGCCCTACATAAATTTTTTTAAAAAAATGATAAGCATCATATTTTATATTAAAAAACAATTATTGCAAATGCTATAAATACGCCACTAATTACCTTTCCTTACATTTATTAACTGTCTCTGATTACATAAGAATTACCATAGGGAATTACCATGTTACTATTACACATAGAGTACATATATAAATGCAATATTTAGTTAGGTATACAAATTGTTGTTAAAGTATACAAATTGTTGATTAACAAATCAATTTTAGTTGTATTATAAAACTATTTACAGTTTGTTAGTTGAGATCTATTAACTCAATGATATTACATTATTATTTTTTAATCATATTTCAAGAAATTACAATAATTGTATTCAGCGAAGCAATTAAAAGTATAAAACTTGATTGCATTCTTTGTTACTAGCGCTAATTACACTAATCCAAAATATAAATTTGAAAGTGGGGTTTGTTTTAAAAATTGAATCAAACAAGCTGTACCATTATCTTGACACGTGTTGAGATCGTGAAATTGTAAATGTTGCAGGTTTTATCGTCTGGTCTGGTGGCGGATGGTCAAATAAGGCTACAGATAAAAAAGAAAAATAAAAAAAATAAAAATGGTATAAAAATTCGTCGGTCGACGACCCATGATCCAACCTGTCATGGGCTGGGTTTGGCCTGGCCTGACCCTAAGAGGGCCATAGGCCAGGCTAGGTCCAATCCCAGACCCGGGGTCAGAGCCGTCGGCCAGACCCATTCAGGCCCGACCTGCCCCACGCCCACCCCTACTGACGCACGACCTTTTGTTACTTTAAGAATGAAAGAACTGATGTATGTTGATACAAATCAGGCATATTAACGTCTTAAGCGATGACATTGGAATTTGTTACAAACAAATGGGGTTCACCTTAGTGTGTGCATGCTAGCTCTTGGGTTTACACAGAACCGTGTGCCTTGGTGATGGGAACGGAGCTAGACTAGTGATTTCCCCCTTTTATGGATACCCACTTCCATTAAGGGTCTGTTTGGTTGGAGCAAAAAACAATGAAAAGTGGTTTCACTCTTTTAGGCAAACGTATTTTCGATCTTTATTTCTGTTTTCATTGTTTCGGTGGCAACAAAAAAGAGGAAATCTCCTCTCTAAAGTGGAGAAAAGGGTCCCTAAAAGAGTAAATCCGTCTCAGAGATATTTGAGCCGAAATGGGGGAAAACTTGACAAGTTAATGTGGGTTGGGGTTTTCTTTGTTGGAAGTCAACTTTTACCCTTTTTTAGGAAATCAACCAAACAGCCCCTAAATCCATTCTACATTTGTGTTTCTCTTGTTTGTTTGGCATAAAATAGGGAACTTCCTCTTGTAAGTGGACAAAAGGGTGTACGAAATGGGAATTTGGGTGAATTGGGCAGAAATTTGTACACGGTCACGTGGGTTTAGGGCATTTTAGCTGGAATTCAATTTTTTCCCTTTTCGGAAATGAAGCAAACAGCCCTTATTGGATAATAGGCTTATCTGAGATATATTTGATTGTTAGTTGAATTTTTTCGAAATGGGAATTTGGGTGAATTGGGCAGAAATTTGTACACAGTCACACGGATTTAGGGCATTTTAGCTGGAATTCAGTTTTTGCCCTTTTTCGGAAATCAAGCAAACAACCCCTTATTGGATAATAGGCTTATCTGAGATATATTTGCCTGTTAGTTGAGTTTTTAGGAAAGAAACCTTTAGGGTTTTAACTTTTAAGAAAAAGACAAGTCTAGTAAAATCGGTCTCTTTTTAGTTTCTACATACTTGGGAACATCGGGCAGTGAAATACTCTAGCATCAGAATAATCATGCATTGCATCTTCTTGCTTGTAAAAGATGCAACAGGAGAAGAGGATGAGGTGTGTGTTATAAAAAGTTATATCCATGACTATTAGTCTATTACTATATAGAATAAACTGAAATATGTTCTCTCTTAAAACAGTAGAAAGCGACATGGAATCACAAGAAAAAGGCAGCAGTAAAAATACTAGATGAATACCAGTATCTATTGGATGGTTTTAGTTGTTTTAATTAAAGAAAGAGGGTCAAGGTTATAGTATGTAAGATAATCTGTGGGAGGGTTAATTTAAGAGGAAGGACTTGTATAGATACAGTACTCGATGATTTACTTCCGACAGAAGAAAGGATATGAAAATCTAATAATAAATAGGTAACCGGATGGGCGAGGATGAGAGGAAAGATGTCAATGGACGGTTCTAGATACTGTACCGGGAGAAGTCCATAGACTGAAAAAGGTTTCATGAATTTTAGCTGTGAATTACGGCAATGAATTACTTAATGGTCTATTTCCCTGATGAGAAAGTGGAAAGTCACAAGAAAAAAAAAAGGTTTTGGTAGAAATATAAGATCAAACTAGCATTCATATGATGGTTTTAAGTGTTAGTAGTTTTAAATGAAGAGGGAAATTTTTTATGGATGGTATTTGATGGTTTTGCTTCCAGGCAGTAGAAATGATGAATAGATAACAATTAACAAGTATGGATGGGGATAGTAGGAAGTAAGAGGTCCCATAGACGACTCTATATTGTGTCCAGCAAAGTCTACATACTAAAAAATTTCATGTATGTTTGCAAATTGCAATGAATTAATAGGAGGACGATAAAGTATTTTAAAACATATGTGAACATAATTCTTAGATCGGTTCTGGAGACTGTCATTCATGCATTCATACAAATTGCATTGCATCTGATTATACGAAAGTTCTGTAGCATGAACACAAAAAGTAGGGAAGAGAAAAGTAAAGAAAGGAAAATATAAATTTTTTTTGAATGTTGGGTTTACTTCTGCACCACCTTTTCTCATTGCCAACCGCATCTGGCTATATTGCCTCCGCCCCCATTTCTTATTAAGGAGACATGATTAGGCCTTCAAGCTTTTACATCATTCCATTGGTTGCCAACCGTGGTGAGTCTGGTGACGACAATCTATATGTGTACTCATTCTTTTCTATTTTATTTCTTCTCTTCCTCTGTCCTTTTCGCTCCCCTTTTTAGTTGCTGTAAATTGCATGTCATGTGCATATAATGCACCGTTTCCCCCTAGATTGTTAGGGAGTATCATGACTATGGTGAAAGAAGATATAACAACAAATTGACAATAACAATCAATGTCTTTATTTGAAAGTTTGGGCACAATTATATTAACCCCTCTGATTTTAAGTTAGGAGTCACAATCTCTGTTACTTTCACAATCCATCTTTTTCTCGGTCTATCTAGTTCTAGCTGGTGCTTGAGCTACTGTCCTGTCATTCTTTATTTGGGATATTTAGCGAAGTTAAAAGACCTGCAATTGAGAATAGTAATGAAAATTCCACTGTTAATAGATACTAACTTATCTCCTATTCAGTGGAAATTAGTTCATAATGTTACCAGAAGTACAATTCTTTTCAACAGACACTTTTGATTAACAAAGAATGTCTGTTCCCGCTCTATTACAACTATTGACTGTTTGTTTATATTAGGCCATCAAAAGTTGTTGTGGGAGATGTTATGCAGGGGACACCTATATGCATTACATTTAAATTTTCCTTGGTTAATAATTCTTAAATATAATTCATTTGATTGTAAAAAGATAGCAGTTAGTAACAATATAGTGGACTTTACAAGGCTCTTAACAGTAGATAGGATGGGAACTGCCTAGCGTCTAGCTATTGGATGTGCACATGGAGGAAGGAGGAAGAAAAAAGTGGTGACAAAGAGAATGGAAGAAAATGATGAGCAGAAGATGAGGAGAAAGGTAAAAAAGCTTAAGAAGGAATGATCTCCCCATTGATTTACTTGAATATTAAAAAATGAGGAGGAAGGTAGAAGATTTAAAGGAAAAAAGAGTTCCCCATCGATTAGTAATTAACCAGCATATTTGATTTCGACGACTTTGGTAACCCTGTGACGTCACAGGCTCTAGCCTAAAGGCCCCCCCCCAAAAAAAAAAAAAAAAAAAAAAAAAAACTAAAAATAAAATCCAAAAAAACAAAAACCAAAAAGGAAAAAGAAAAATAACCAAACCCCTATTTATGTCCTTTGTAGATTCTTGCCTGGAAGACAGGGCTGCTTATGCTCAGTAGTTAAGCTACCAAGGGTTCATTGCCACCTGTGAAGGTAGTTTTAGCTCAGCCAAGAATATGAAAACTATTACTATGTAACTCCATTATTTAGGAATTATAACAAATCACTCTGAATAGCTGATTGTTCAGCCTGTCCCTAGATACCTAATGGAATGGACTATCCAGTATAAAAATATTTGCAGCTATGTTATTTACTACTAAATGATGACAACAACAATAGATATCTGTCAATATCTATTCCTACTGTTCTGTATATTTATAACCCCATTATTGGTATTTTTTTAAGTATTGGGTTCCATATTTTTTACAAAGTATGACCATTTAATAGTGTAGCACTCCATAATAGATGGCACGAAAGCACATTTGTTGGAACCTGAAGATTTGAATTTTGAATTGTTAATGGAAGATTCACCTAAAGGTGGCAGAGAATCTTTTGTTGGAACCTGAAGATTTGAATTTTGAATTGTTAATGGAAGATTCACCTAAAGGTGGCAGAGAATCTTTAAACCTGTGAAGTTGGTATTGTGCCTCATGATGCTATTCTCTACTTCAACATTTATAATATGATAAGAGAGTGTTTGTTGTGAAATCCAGTCTTTTCTATTACATTTTACGACAAAATTTGGTCTTCAGAAGCTGACATGCAATATTGGATTTTTTGGCTTGTTTGGAATATGTACTGTTTGGCCAACTCTTTTCATGTTCCCTTTTTGCATCACATAGATTGCTATTTTCCTTGGGAGAAATGATTGTTATGTATCCATATTATATATATTGTTATTTCCCTTTTTGCATTATGCAAGATAAATAGTTATGTTATTTGTATTAGTTGAATTTCTAGCATCAACTTTTGACTCCGTTTCCTGCTTGTAGAGATGATCCAGAACTCGATAAAATGTTAAAAGAGAGGATCAGATGGGGTGATCCTATGGCGCATTTGGTCAAGGTATTTTATGAAAAAGCTGTTTGTACTCTTTGTATTGGTTAGCATCTTCAGTTGCTAACGTATTTATTTTAAATCGATGTAACAGAAGAACTCAGAGCTTGTCTTGGAAGATCTTGGTACTGACGAGAAGATGAAAGAATCCGGTTTTATAGTTCCTCAAAGTATTCCTAGTCATAGTTGGATAAAGCGGGGAATTGATTTTCCTCCAAATCGATATGGTATAAGGCCAGGGCGGCACTGGGATGGAGTTGACCGTAGTAATGGTTAGTCTTACTACTGTTCTTTTATCAGTCAGGATGGTTATATTTTTGTTATTACAGACAGTAACATAGGTATTTGCATGGAGTCATATTGTTTTTGTTTACTGCTGTTGTTTTTATGCGATAATTCACTCTGAGCTTAAGATAATATTTGCATTGAGTCACATAGGTATTGTCCATGCTTAATTCATTTTCCTTATTTTCCCTCTAAGCTTAAGATAACCTTGGAATTCAATTGATCTTACTCCTTGGTGCATATAAATACAGTATAACTGCAAGTTTGATATTATTTGTACATAGATAATGATTTCCTAAACTCTTCCACACCATCAATTTTTATGCAGTGTATATCTATTTCTTTTGTCAATTACTGTTCTTTTGAGCTTCAAGAATCTAGCTGTTGAGTTTTTTTCTCTCTAAAACCTTGGTGGAGGCATCTCCTGGTTGATTGTGCATTAGTGTCTAATGTACTGAGTATATGGAATTGTAAGGAATATGATAGACCAATTAAATGGTCTTTGTTAGCTTATATGAACCTCGCAACTGTTTTGCTAATTATCTTGCTTTCCCGACTTTTTACACAGGATATGAGAAAGAACTATTCAAGAGGCAGAATGAGAAGCGAGCTACAGAAACAGAAGCTTATCTGTGGTCGGTGTCTGACATGTGAGCCTTCAGGAAAAAATTTCGTCAGGTGTATGTTGCTTCAGTAAGATGGAAAGGAATTGTGCTTTGGACAGAAAGCTTTTGGGTTAAAACTTGCTTATCTCTGACTCAGACGTAAAAACTTGCTCATCTCTGACTCTGACGTATAAGGGGTCATACCCTGCACCAAGGAATTGAAGTAAGGCTGTGAATTTGCTCATCTTACCATGTGCTTAAGGATTTAATGTGCTGTATTACAAGAGTTGGTCTAATTCCTTATGAGAAATCCGTTGTTTCCAGTTTTCTTCTGAGCTTCCAAAAGTGGGAAGGGCGACAGCTGAAGGATTGTCTTAAGATCAGCAATAAGGTTCCTTTTATGTTAAAGTGGAATCCTTCAGTACCATCCTTCAGTACCAGCATTGTTTTAACGTATTAGGTGTATGAGAGAATGGTGAACTTCTTTCTCATAGTAGCCGCCACGGTTTGAAGATCCCTTGAGTTCGTTGGTTAATGCATACAATTGCACCTGGGACTTGTGCTTAAGATTCTTAGTAATTGATATTTGTAACTGTAGTGCAGATAGTTGAAATCTCCTACTATATGCCTTGTTTTACTTAGGTGGTCGGTTGACATGTTTATGTCTTATATGCATCCTTAGTAAGGACCTAAGGTCGTGTCAAATTTGCAAGTCCAGGCTGAGATCCTTTGATAGATGTAAGTCTGGCTATATGTTTTCTATATCTTCATGGTAATTCAATTTTAGCTATAATTGTTGCTGTTTCGGTACGGATCCAAGAATGTATAATGAGACTATATCCGAACCTTTTTCATGAGACGTGGACCCACACGAGGGTTGGGGGTAGTGGCCCGATCCTCTTTTAATTATGCGGGACTTATTCAAAAATTGCAGCTTTTATAATTATTGCCACTTCTCCATTATTAAAAAAAAAGTTATTGCCACTGCAAAATTTCCAAGTTTTTAACTGCCCTATTGCGGGAGCGGCACAGGATAATACTATTAATAGTAAATATTTTGAAGAGTTGCGACACCAAGTTGATGTGTAAATAATGTTGCATCTACTATTCAATAAATGTGGACCAGTTTGCCTATTTATTTCGGGTAACCGAGATGTGTGACATTGTTACATCAGCAGCAGTTTTCTTCTTCCAGGAATTAAAGATAGCACTCCTAGTCTATTAAATAAGGAAAGAGACTGTACAAAAAAGAAATTAGAAATGTATAAGGGTTCTTTCGTAAAAGCCGGGCTCGCCGGTCGGAGTGAAGGTTTCCGCGGAGATCCATTTGTGGTGAGCGAGGAAACTACGAAGTCAGACGCTTTGACCGTGGAAAAGTAAGGCAAAAAGCGTTCTTTCATTCTTGTCCTCTCGATCTCGGCTCTCGCCCTGTCCGTGGATCCGGCTAAGCTAAATTGCTCCCCCGTAACAGCTCGTCTAAATCTGAAATAAAAACCCCAAACAGCTCGACACGCGACTGATGGGGGGAGAGAAATAAATCTTACTAAATTGTTCTTTCACGAGCTACGTCCGAATTTGAATCAAATTCTTCTCCTCTAATGGCGGAAGAGATCAGAAACGAGCAATGAAGTGTAAAAGGCATCCGTACGAGCTCGGCGTCGGCGTCTGCGCCTCGTGCCTCCGGGAGCGCCTCCTCGCCGTGATCGCCGCCCGCGAAGGGAGATCGCCGGAGCTCCGCCGGCATCTCGACCCTCGCCGCTCGTTTTCCCCAGGACGGCTCTCCCCTACGCCAGTACCACGGCGTCCGTGCGGATCCGGGCCCTCGCCGTCCCCTCCTAACCCCGCCCTCCTACTCTGCCGGTTCTTCAGCACCCGCTCAGGTGGGCCCCCCCTTCAGATGCCGAGACCACCGCCGACACAGTTACAGCTTTCGGCAGCTACAGGAAGAGCAGGAGCAAAAAGTGCTCTCTTTTACTCCAACTCTTGGCTCCACTAGATCCCACGAGGCCAAGCGTGTCTAAATCAGATTCTTGGATCTCCGGCCTCATCCCCGGCCGTCAGGAAAAGAATCCGAAGCTGTCGAGATCGAAATCTTTAAAGAGCGAGAATGTCGCCGGCGAGAGACGACCGGAGGACAACGGACTCCGTCTGCTCGAGCGGGTAGCGTCGACGAGTCGTTTTTCGGACGGCTGCTGTCCGCCTGAACGCGAAACCGTGTCCGTAAGTTTCCATCTTCGGGCGTCGCGGGCGGCGGCGAGGCCCGGGCCGCGGGGTGTCGGGATTTCGCGGTGTGCCCTCAGACCGCTGGTGAGCGCCGAATCTCGAAACGGCGAGCGGACTCGGATGCTCCGTCGACCTGCGTGGATCCTGCTGGGTGGGACCCACAATCCACCGGAGACAGTGTCGGCGGGGAGCGGGGTCGCTCCTGCCGCTGTAGATCGAGGAAGCTGGCGGACTTTGGTCGGTTCAGATGACGGTTTTGCCCCTGATTGCCCTCGGTGTTTGAATGGGTTCTTGTTACCGTTTGGGGGCGTGTTGGTAATTAAGTTTGCTCTGGATAATGTTACCCTCGGTTTTTTGATAATCCACTCCCACTGGTGCGCAAGTGGATAGTGGGACTGGATTATTAAAATGATGGGTGACGATAAAAGTTGTCTTTTTCTTATTTATATTTTTTTCGTTATTTGCTCCGTGTTGTATAGGAGATAATGAGGGGTGGGTGAACTATAAATGATACACAATATCAGCCCTTTTACTACGAAAAGTTTCGGCTACTTTTGTTGACAAAAGATTTTAAAATTTTTTCTTTTATAGAAAATGGAAGAAGAATGATAGTTGTTTACTGTTAATTTTAATTAATGCAATCAATCAATAATGTCAATGCAAGCCTGTTAAAACGTCATTGTATTAAAGTCATTTTTATCAGTCCATTGACTAAGCTTTAAATTGTTTGGAATATTTCTCCTTGCGCTTTCCGTAGGGGTGTTAGTCAATTGAGACATTTTCATGTAAAATTGTATAATTGTTAAAGTAAAATATTTTTTTGTTAGTGGGATATTTTAGTGGGATAAATAGGAATAATTTTGTGAAACAAGATATTTTGATAAAATAACGTGGGATAAATTTTTATAATCATGAAATATATATTTATGCATTTTGAAGATATAAATACTATTAATATATTTTAAACTTATTATTATTGATTGATAATTACTTACAAGAATGTTCTTTACTATTAAATAACTTTTGGTTAAACTATAAGATATTGACAATTATTATTATAATGATGGACTAATGATGGTGATAACCATAATAGGAAAAAAGTAAAGAAAAAAAATATAAAAAAAAAAAAAAAACAAAATAAATATGATTTCTAGTTTTTTACCACTTAGTTCTAAGCTAAAACTTAGAATAATTTGAGAGACTAGAACTCTCATTTTTGTATAGAAAAATAAAAAAAAATAAGATAATTTTGTACAATTATCCTAATTCTAGTTTTGATAGAATTCTACTTGACTAACACTGTAAAATTTTGTTCTAGTTTTAGTTCTATATGACTAACACCTTAAAAATTTATCCCACATATTATCTCAGTTCTAATTTTAAATTCTAGGTGATTAACCCTCCCATAATAGGACAAATTTTCAAAACCAACCTATTTGGAAATTTAATCCTAGAAAACAACCCCTTTCAAACTTAATTGCAAAAATCGACCTGGTTTCAGCCTTGGCGCTGAAACCAGGTCGGTTTTTGTGAAAAACTCCGGAAACTTTATGGGAGTTGAACTCCCGTGAAGTTTCGCAGTTCAAAAAAATAAAATAAAAAATAAACTACGAAACTTCACGGGAGTTGAACTCCCGTGAAGTTTAGCAGTTTTACTAAACTTCACGGGAGTTCAACTTCTGTGAAGTTTCGGATAAAAATTTTCAAAAACCGACCTGGTTTCAGCTCCAGGGCCGAAACCAGGTCGGTTTTTAAATTTTTTTGCAAAAGCGGTCGTTTTTTCAAAAATAAATAGTGAAAGGGGTTGGTTTTGAAAATTTGTCCTCCCATAATATTTTCTTTGGAAGACTGCTTATTATTATTATTATTATTTTTGGTTTTTAGAGAATGTCTGACAAGACGCTAGAAGTTACTATAAGAAGTTCAAAAAAAAAGTACTACCAAGCGTCAGAGCTACAACTGTAATTTTCTTCTTCAGGAATGTCAGTAATAACTGGGCAATTCTCGTTTTGCTTAAACTATTCAAGCACGCTTCGATCCTCGCCCTGCAGCATTCGCTCGAAGAAGAAATAATTTAGGGAAAAGTGTGTGAAGGACCCCCAAAAAAAAACCTGATGTGGTCCAATCCCATTAAGTTTTTCCCATGCTGTTTAGTCCTAAAAAACTGAAAAAAGTATGGCCCAGCTCCAAAAGCTCACTTTTATATATATATGATTTGTATTTGTACAGATCTTTTGAAAATATCCTCTTCTCATCCAAACTGTCATACTCACACACTCTCTCTTCTGTCTTCTCTCTTATGTTGCTTAAACACCCAAAACCTAACCCAAATCCAATCCTTCACTGACGTCGGCACGATGACCCGACTCCTTCACGAATGCATCACCTACCAGCGCTCTCTTGACGTCCGCCTCGACTCCCTCCTCTCCTACCTCATCGATCTCGATCGCAGCCTCCTCGCACTCCGCCGCTCCTCCTCCCCTCTCCTCTCCCTCGCCCGATCTGATTCGTCCATCCTCCTCTCCTGTCTCTCCTCCACCGTCTCCCTTACCCATCAAGTTTCATCTCGCGTTCACCAGCTTGACCTCGCCCACTCTCGATGCATCTCGCCCTCTCCCACATTGACGTCGCACTTCACCGTTCGCATTCCCTCGACGCCGCTCAACGATCACTCGACGTCGAAGACTACGACTCTATCATCGCATCAAGAATTTATTGTCCGTTGGGGTTCCTTAAGGGCCGGATTCAAGAGAGGTGAAGACTAACTTGGAGGAGATCTTGTCATTGATGCATTTGGGGGGTGATTATACTGAGTTCATGATGTCGAAGATCAGGGGATTGTGGTTCGTTGATCCTGAATTTGGTTCAGAGGCTGTGAAGAGATTAAGTACCAGGAGTTTTAATGGAATGTTACAGGAGCTAATTGGGTATATTTGGTCATTGAGGAGTTCTTTATGGTGGAGAATGTGAGGAAGGCAATATCAATTGATGAGCATCAACTAGAAAGTGACAACATCAATGGTGGTTGATGTGATTGTATGGGTCTGATGTTTCATACATATACATCAATGTCATCACATTTCAGATAAATATAATACACTGGAGAAAGTATGAATGACTCTGGAGAAAGTATGAATGGCTCTGGAGAAAGTATGAATGACTCTGGTGTCATATGTGCCAGACTTGTAGCTGAGCTTCTAATAGAAGGATGAGATAAAAGAAACAATCAAAGCCATTAAATAAGGATGGAGAGAAATTTGTTTCAAAAATTGAGTTTTTATAAAAACTTGTGCGCATGTTTATATTGTGTTACTGATTTTGGTTATATTAATAGTAGATGTGGATGACAAACAATACAACAAGCTTGACTTTATTATTCTTATTGTATTTATAGTATTTTTGCCATCAATTTGATATGTTCATTGTTGATACCACAAATACTTAACAGGTTTAGTTGGAAAGTTAACATGTTTAGCTGAAAGTTAACAAGCATCGCCAAAAGTTAACACTGTTTGAACGAAAGTTAACATGAAAAGCTAAAAGTTAACATGTTCAGCCGAAAATTAACAACCAACGCCAAAA